GCTTATTAATTAGCTTATAAGCTTCTAGTCTTATCTTTTATCTTTCTACTACTGTTAAGAGTTTAAGGTAGAGCAGAACTGCTTTTTTTTCTAAGTTAAAGCGTCCCTAGAGCTAGCCTAGGGCGTTATTAGAGCTTGCTTAGGGCAAGCAACAGTTTTAGTGTTGCGTACAGCGCGCTTAAACTCTAGCTAAGTGTTTACAGACTTAAGTAAGCTGTTGCGCTGCATTTCTCTTTAAATAGATTTTAAAAGGCAGCTTTATACAAAGGCAATTTTAATCTTATAGAGTTTCTCTCTGTTAAAGGTTTAGAAAGAAGTGTTTTTTAAAAGACCCTCTTACTAAGATAGCTAGGTAATAAAAGTGTTAAATGTATTACCTACTTTTTACTCTGTATTCTAAAAGTAATAGTAGTTCTTGTACTGCGTTAGAAGAAGATCTTAGGTAAGCTTATGTACTTTAGTTTAAAGCTAAGCCTAGGTTTTAATAGTGCCTTTGTTAATAGCGCAACTAATTAAGTCTTTATAGACTTTAAACTAGATCTAGTTAATAATTTATTAAGTTTAAGTAGCAGAGTTATCTAGAAGGTCTACATATTCCTAGATACTGTTTATATCTCTTACCTAAGTGTCTACTTACTATAGGGTTAGAGACTTCTTTAAGAAGCTAAGCTTTAAAAGGGCCTTAATCTTAGATAGCTAACTTAAGGTCTTATCTAGGCTAGCTTAGAATTAGAGTTAATTTAGAGTAGTCCTAAGAAATAGGCTAAAAGTTATAGAAGTAATCTAGGCCTGTTTATAAGCTTAACTAATTTTAGCTTCTAGAGCTTTTTTAGCCTTAAGCTAAAAGGCTTTTATAAGGAGTAATTATATAAACACTTTATTAGTTAAGAGTTGCACTAGGACAGTAGTAGAGCTAGTTTAGGCCTGCTCTAGAAGGGTACTGCAGCGTATCGCGTTAGCCCTTGTTGCTAACAGTTGCTGTGAGTGGCCTATAGGGAGCTAACTAGCAGTCCCTAGAGTTCTAAAACCTAAGGGGCTTAGTGTAATAAGAGGGTTGTTTAATCCTTATCTAGTATAACCTAAAAAGTTTCTAGGTTTAGTCTAACTACGTCCCTAATAGTTTTTAGGGTCTTACTTATCTTTTAACTTAAAGACTTAGTGTTCTTTATCTTCTACCTCTTATACTTGCTAATCTAGTGGAATTTAGTTAAGGCGCTAAGATGTAAGGTGCTTAAGGAGTTAAGCACTAGAGTTGTTATAAAGCGTCTCTAGAACAGCCTTAGAAGGGGTAGTAGCTGTGGCCCTGCTTTTGCGTGTGTAACTGCTGTTAGCTATTATTGTTATAGCTCTTTAATTAAGGTAAAGCTTAAAAAGCAGTAGTAGAAGTAGCCTTCTATTCTTTAAACTAACTGCGTCTCTATAGGAAAGTATAAAGGATTTAAATTATAAGAGCACTGTAAAGCAGGAAGCGTGAAGCGCAGAAGGGGGTACAGGATAGTATTAATAGACAAATCCTTAAGGAGACTCAGGGGTTTGTAAGAAGATATATATATATGTGCTAGGGCACGTGACGGGACGTCATGTGCCCAAGGCTGGGCCGAGGGCTCTCCGGGGAGAGTCCGAGGCATGTCCAAGTTGACCGTGACACTTACAGCCTAATTATAGGTTGTAACATGTAGGCTCCTCTCTCTATTAGCATCCTTACTGTTCTGCCTATACTATTATAAGTGTTAGAATTTCTTTTTATCTAGTATACTCTTTTATAAACACCTTATAGATGTCTATCTTTCTTAACTATGCCTTGTTAGTTTTCTTGTTAGTCTACTTATAGTTGCTGTTCGCGCGCTGTTGCCTGCCTTAATCCCCTTTGTTATACAAAGATGCAGCTATGCAGTCCTTATTGTTTATTAAGATCTTCCTGCGTTTTAACCTTATTATTAAATAAGTGTGTAAAGCGCGTTTAAAAGAGAAACTATTATAATGCTTTTATTTTTAACACAGCTTAAAATTATCTAGAAAAAAATAGAAGCAACTTCTTTTTAAGATAAAGGCTGTTTAGAATAAGCAAGAGTAAGAAGTAGAGCATAACTTAGAGGAGTTATAATTAATCTAGGTTTAGGAAACTTAGTTCTAGAAGCAGCTTAATCTTCTAGAGAATTATAAGGTAAAATATCTAGAAACAGACTTTTTATTCTTAGATAAAATTAAAGCGCTTAAGGCAGAAGCTTATAGTTATTTTTCTTTTTAACCTATGTTGTAGAGTTAGCAGCTTTCTACATTGCAGCTACCTAGTTTTATAATAGTTTTTTCTACTAAAGATAGTGTTTTCTAGTCTAGAGAACTTTCTCTAGGCTAGTTTTAGCTAGAAGAGACGCCTAATAGTCTTAAAAAAGCTAAGAAGTATTTATTAAGTTCTTAATAAGTTTTTACATATTTTTACTAGTAAGCTATATCTTTTACTTTACTAAGAACTTTTTTTCTTCTCTAGCATCTACTATCTGCTTAACTTTATATTTAGCTTTAATATCTTTTTATTTTGTTATAAAAAGAGGTATTTTTTTCAGTACTTTCTAAGCTTCAAGGCGTAGAACTAAAAGCGTATGCGCATTTTTTTTTAGCAGCCTAAGTTTATAATTATCCCTCTATGTCTAGAGTACTTTGTATAGGCTAATGTGTTTCTCTGCAAGTTTTTAAGATAGTTTAAAAGTGAAAAGGTTTTTTGTTTTAAAGTACACATAATCTTCTAGTTAAATTATAGAGATTTCTTACTAAGCCTTATTTGTGTTTTACTCTATTTCTTTTTAACTAGCCTTAGCCTTAATTGCTAATTTTTAGTGTAGTTTTAATAATTAAAAAAGACAGGTAGCAGATTCTAGTAAGTTTATAGGTTGCGTTTTATAAAGCGCAAAGTAAAAGTAATATCTAAAGTTAGCTTTATATAGTGTTTTTTTATTATAGTAGATTCTACTATGTTAATTGCTAGCTACGCTATAAAAAGCTATTCTGCCTAATTTATCTAATTATATAATATATACTTTCTGTTGAATGGACTCTCTGCTAGCTAGCACTTGGTGTCAGCAAATGCGTACGAGACGGAGAGGTTTGCACGGTGTAAACATCGCACGGGGGTGTTAGGTAACTAGTGTTGATTGCTTCTTGTTGTTTTCTATTGTACAAAGGAAAGGGGTTGATATAGTCCTAAACTCTGCGCACAGATCTCTGTGCACAGGGATCTAGGCGCATCTAAGCCACGTGACTATTAACTAGGCGCCTAAATATTACTATTTAGACATTAGCAACTTTTTGTTTTTCTTTTATACAGGACTTGCCTTATTTACACATACAGTAGACAGGTTGCTGTAGGGCCCTTTTTACTTATTTTATACAGGCTTAAGTCTGTTAACTAATGCTTTAACTCTAACAGTTAGTTAGTTATACAAAATTAGTTTCTTAAGAGCAAAGTTTAGCGCCTTCTTTATACAGGCATTTATAGGGTTATCTCTTTTATTAATCTACTTAATCTCTATAATCTCCCTCTTCTTGTATAATTCTTAAATTAACATAATATTAATTATAAGTCTTTTCTTATTTATTGTTCTAAGCTTTATAAGACATTTATATAGAGATCTTAAATCTATGCATAGTACAATAGGTACAGGAGGTATTCTAAGCATACATGTAATCTAGTTAATAGTTGTACTTAGTGCAATTACGTAGTTAAATCCTCCCACTATTCTGTACAGCTTACTAGCTAGGACAGAGCAGGTAACGCGTTTACACTTAGAGGAGTTCTAGTGTACAATATTACCTATAATTTTAAAGTTGTATAAGTTTCTAGTTTACTGCTTAGTCCTAAAAATAATAAAAAAGCTAAGCTATAAACTTAGGTCCTTATTATTTATAAAAAATCTGTTAGTAAAGATAAATAACTTTATATAGAAAAGATTAAGTAGTACATATAATAATCCTCTATTCTAGTTGTTAATTTACTATTAGATTTATATGTTTAATGCCTTAATATTATTGTATAACAGCAACATGACTTAAGCAGCAGTAGACAGGTCAAATGCTGCCTCAGGTTAACATACTAATGCGATATAGGCACCTCGCGCGCGCTGTTCAACGTACTTCTGCGCGGCATCCTCTACCTTAGACTCTATTATGTGTAGATTCCTAGCTTAACCCTTCTATGTAAGAATAATATTATTTTATATAAAGTAGATCTTTCCTCTATTAAATTTAATAGCCTAATTATGCAATAGTATAGTCTTAGGCTTTACTTAGAAGTTAGCTTTAAGCAATTTTTTTCCCTCTCTTTATGCAAAATTAGCTGTAATAATACTAAGGGTATTATCTGTCTATAGTCCTGTAATACTAAACACTGTTAGGCCTTTATGTGTAATTAATAAGCACAGATTATATAATAAGGTTTTTATAAAAAGTCTATTCTTATAATAGTTATAGTATGTCTTAAACTAATACAAGCCTAACTCTGCTGCGCTGTATAGTAGTTGTACAACTCTAAATATTGTGTGTGGAGGGAAGCTTTTACAGAGTTCTCTTAGTAGTTATGTAAAGAGAGTGCAAACAAGCTTGTCTATTAATTATACATATGCCTAAGTAATATTGCGTAGTTTATAGTGCATGTTGTATAAAGCTATTAGTAATAGGCTAATAGCTAGGATTAACCTCTAACTTATTTTCTAAATTATAGGAGACTATGTAAGGATCTCCTTCTTCTCCTTATCTAAATGTCCTGTAAACACAAGTTATAACTTTTTATATAGTTTTATTAATTTCTTTTTAACTTTATATATAAGTTAAAGGTTAAAGATCTGTCCCTTGTAGATTAATAGATTATATAAAAGTACCTTAAACGTGCTGCCCGCGATTAGGCTCTCTATTTCTGTACAGTCTAATTCTTTAAATGGTTTCCCAGGTGTTGTGATCACACTGTCCGCACAGAGCTTGATCGCCAGAGCGTAGTCATCCTTTTTCTTCTAGGTTAGGAACATTATGTCTTGTACAGGATTCTTGCGTGGTCTCCCACAGCCTCTCTTAGCTAGTTGTGGTTCTAGTTCTGCCTCTGCAACATTCTTGCAGGGCTGTTCTCTCTTCCTCTTCTTTAGGGGATCTCTTTGTACAGGGATTAGTTCATCTAGGTCATCTGTTGCAGGTAGGTTGTCTTCCTCCTTTTCTCTATAGTACAGTTTGACCTGCGTACATCAGAGCTTTAGTAGGCTATTCTCTCTCTTAATAATAACGTCTCTCCCTTTAATGCTCTTAATCTTATACAGGCTAGTCTAGCCTTCCTTCTCTCTCTATGCTATAATCTTTAAGCTAAGGGGGAGGTTAAGAACTTTGTGCGTTGTAGGGCTATTATAGGTGTTAATTATATAATTAATGTTTACTTTTGCACAGTTCTTTTAAAGTATCTTTATTACCTTTTGTGCAGCGCTTGCTTGTGCAATAATGTCTAGCAATAGTAGAGAGTTTAGGTTAATTCTTAGGTATGCCCTAAAGACTAGCAGCGTGGGTACTAGACTGTGTGGGCCAGCTGTGTCGTTTAGAGCCTTAACTGCCATCTGCAGGATAGCCTCATTATCTGTACAGTCACCTAGCTCAGTCTTTAGGATGTTGAACGCTTGTTAGAGAGGTGCGTGCGCGCGCTTAACCTTTCTAACTGCCTAATGTGCTTCTACAGGCATCTGCCTGCATGTAGCTCCTACAATCTTTGCACAAGCTTAAAAATCCTTTAAAGCAAAGTTTATACTAGAGTTATGCATAATGTAGTTTAGGGGTCCTTAATAGGTGTTAATCTAGCATTTGCACAGTGCATCCTAGGTATCTTGTGCAGACATAGATTTTAGGAATGTGGCAGCCTAAAATAATGTGTCTATATTAATAACATATAAAACATCCTTATTATTAATTTATACAACATTAATAATAACTTTATAGTTAAAGTAGGTGTTATTTTTAATTATAAACTTAAATCTTTGCAGGGCCTAGTTGTACAATTAGCAGAGGTAGTAGAACTTCTTAATCTCTTCCAGCACTGCGGCATTAACGTTATGGCTGGCGCTGGTTAGCATCTTCTAGAGTCTCTCTGTGCGGGGGTGTCTAAATTAGTAGTGGAGGCGGTAGAGTTCTAATTTAGTAAAGAAAGACATAGATTCTTTCTTACTAATGTTAAAAAAAAAGTATCTTTATTTTTATATAATAAGAATAGTAGTTTTGTCTTTGCGTATAATAACATTTAAAATGTTATTAAAGTATGCCCTAAGTTAGTTAGCATCTGCTAGCAATAGCAGGAATAGTGTTAGAGTCTTTAGAATGTAATACATTATGTTACTAACTAAGTTAGTAATTTATATAGTACTAATTAATTTTATTAATCCTTATTTTTTAAAGCTAATACTTTTTTTCCTTAGTGTCTAGTCTACTTTTGTATAAAAGAATTTTTGTAGGTATGCTTTAAGTTATAACTTCCTTACAGTAGAGATTCTTACTACGCTAGTATTCTATAGTTTACTTTAGTATACTGTACAGTATTAATCTTTAAGGATAAACTATTCTGCGTATCCTTTAGGTTCTAGGCTGTAGATGTCCTCTACAGTCGCGCAGTAAAGAAATGTAGCATTAGTAAAGTAGTTAATAATCTTCTTACCTTCTTTTTTATCTAGGTTGTTGTTGTTGTGTAACTTCTTTTTCTTCTACTCTAGTTTACCTTTAAACTTTTAAATGTACATATTTACTTTTTTACATGTTAGTGTCTTATTATAGAATCTTTTATACAAAGAGATATATTAGTGTTTTATATAAGATTAATCTATATAAGAATAATTTATTAACTAACATTCTTTTTTATAATAGATAAAGCATTACTTTAATTATACAGAGAACTATAGTCTAAATAATCCTCTATATCCCCTTAGGCTTTTTCTATATTGTTAATAGCTATGTGTATGTAGTAAGCTATATTACCTATTTATGTAGTACACGTTTTAGGATTTGTTTATAAATGCATTATTCTATTAATTAATTATAACTTAAAGTGCTAAACAGAGGTTACTGTACAGTGCTTTACATGTAGGCTTAATTAAAAACATTGCTTATTTAAGTTTAAGTTACCCTTAGCATGCTTATATAATAGTAGTGTAAAGCAGTATCTTGCTTTAGATTTATAGACTAAGAGCTTTTTATGCAAAAGTAAGTTTATTAATTATAGCTTTAAAAGCTTTATATAAAGTTTTTATAAAGTTTTCTTACTTACTTTATATAAAGCTTATTGTTATTTAATCTGTCTAATACTAGTTATAGTTTATGTTAGTATTAAAGTAATTACTAAGCTACTTATACAGTAACTTTTATAATTGTCCTAGACTAATATTATAAAGGTAGAACATGTGTGCGCGCTTTTTAAAAATATTAGGAAAGATGCTTACGTATAATGCCTTAGAGATAGCAAGGTGTTAGCAGAGCTTAATAAATACTATAGCCTTGTTAGCTAGAATATTATATAGTTGCCCTATATAGTTGTTTTTCTTCCTTTATACCTTTTAAAATTATATAACCTTTTTAGGTGTAAGGTTCTCTACTGTAATATCTTATGTAAGTAGAAGTTAGTATAGATTATACAGTAATTAAATTATATGTAGTGGGTACAAGCTTTAGGGAATCTCATGCAGAGCTGTGGCTATAGGAATATGTAGCTGCCTAGTTGTGCTCTTGTACAGTAAGCTATTACAAGGTAGTTGTACTAATTATAGAGGAAGTATTAGGTCTGTAGGTGATTTGTACAGAGACATCCTCTGTTGCGTTAAGACTAGCAATAGTAGTAATAGTTTTATATAATGCTTTAGTAGGATAGTAAACATGTGTTCTTTTTTTATAAGTCTATATAGTGTAGTAGCCTCTATTATGTCCTTTTTAAAGCTAATGCCCTTGTTCTATAAAGTAGTAATTAGTTTTTATAGAAACAGTTAGCTAAGATCTCTAAAGTGTATAAGCTTTTACTTTATAAAGTTATTTTAAAAGTTTTTAAGTGTACATACATCTATTACACTTAACGCGCAGAGTTTTATAATTAAGTTAGCTGTGTATAAATTAAGCTTATTTTTAAGTATGTTATTTAATAGTTTAATCTTATCTACTTAATTCTTAATGTTTATCTGCTTTGCTAGAGTCTTTGCTAAGATGCCTATAAAAAGTATGTATTAGTTATATGTTAATATGTTATGTTAGCTAGTTATAGATAGAGCTGGCGTTGCTTATTGCTCTATAGTAGTTAATTATGCGTTGTCGCGCGCTGTCTTACTTCTTGTTGTACGCTGCCTCTAAACAGCCTTATGCAAAAAGATAAAACAGACCTTCTAGCGTTAAACAAGCACTACTATTTATATAATACCTTTAAATAGTATTATATAGACAGGTTTCTTGCTTTTGCTTAAGTAACTAAATAGAGATTTATAGCTACTTGTATATAAATTAGACTTTATCTTTACTCTTACTAATTTATAGTTAAAGTAGTAAGAAAAAGAATTCTTCTTATACATAAACTTTTAAATAGAAAGGTATAAGAAAAACTTTCTCTCTTACAGTATTTAAACTACTAATTAGTGTTAAATAGACTCTCTGCTAGATAGCACTTAGTGTTAGCAAATGCGTACAAGACGGAGAGGTTTGCACAGTGTAAACATTGCACAGGGGTGTTAGGTAACTAGTGTTAATTGCTTCTTGTTGTTTTCTATCGTACGAAGGAAAGGGGTTGATATAGTCCTAAACTCTGCGCACGGATCTCCGTGCACAGGGATCCGGGCGCATCCGAGCCACGTGACTATCAACCAGGCGCCCGAATATCACTATTCGGACACTTTCTTAGATACTTTTTTATTTTAGTGTTTACTCTTTTAGTTTAACTATCTGTCTATCGGTAATACGCTATAGATAGTCTGTGTTCTACTCTTTAATGTCTTATTATAGTGTTCTAGAATTTACTTGTAAATAGCTTATTTCTATCTAAGATAATAATTTATAGACACTTATAAATAAAAAACACATTTTGTTCTAGCTTCTATATAAATTCTTTAGCTGTAATGCTTTTCTTAGTAGGCTATATATGCAGAAACTTTGTTGTTTTGTCTAGAGTAACTACTACTATATTATAAAGTCTGTCTGTTCCTAGTTTATGTAATAGTAGTAGTCTAGTAATAAAGTCTATTATTATTATAGTCTAAGGTTGTTTAGAGGCTTTAATTAACTATAAATAACTATATGTCTTATGCTGTCTAGAATTATTTCTATTATAGACATTACATTTTTAAAGAATTTCTATGCATAGTTGTTTTAACTAGGGCATGTTTTAAAAAATTATAGCATTAATTTTTTTCTAGAGTGTTCTAATTCCTAGGTGTCTAAACATAAAGGCCTTGTAGTATTCTTTAATAAAGTTCTTCTATTCTTGTTTTACTATTATAAGAGTTGTAATTAATTTTTCTAGTGCTAGTTTATTATAAACTAGCTTTTCTTCTATTTCTTTAAATAGTGTAAATTCTTTTATGTTTTTTTTAATTTCTTTTAAAGTAGTCTAAGCGTTAGCTTAGAGTGTCTACTTACTAGTTATTTATTTCTATAACATGTTTTATTATAAAACTAAACTAGGCTAGTTCTATAGCCTATTATACATGTATTAGTAACAGTTTTATTATTATTAGAAAAGTAACTAGGTTAGCGTAGTTTATAAAGACAACAAAGCGCTGTTCTATTCTTTATAATTTAGTCTTCTATGCTCTTAGTACATTTACTATAGCCTTAAGTTTTTTATCTAGAATACTATAGTTCTATTCTAATAAAAAGAACTTTACTAAATGTAACAGTGCAGCTTGTCAAGCTCCGCTGCTAGTTACATGATCTCGCTAAGGGTTAAGCGAGCGCGCTAGCGCTTTGGCGCTGCGCAAGCTTTTCTCTCGCGAAAACCCTTCGCCTCCTTCACTCCCCATCCTAGTTTAGCTGAAATAGAGCCGACCTACTCTACCTTGCTTCCCTAGCTCCATACAGTAGTAGAGACAGTGCTTGTCATCACACTAAATAATAAGTTACTAGGTGCTATCGCCTGTTTTCCTGCTTTAAGAAAAATACTGCTTCTTTAGCTCTTAGCAATGCATCTATATGTAGCTTAGTTTTAAGGCGTAGGTTTGTCAGATTGAAGCACTGTTTCTAGGCTTCCTAAGATGAATGATGGGTTTGGATATGATGTATGGGATGATTGATTGATTGTATTGATTTATTGATCCTTTTTCTGCTCTACTCGTGTTGCTCGGCTTTTTGTTTTGCCGCTCCGAGTCCCTCGCGCACTTGCCCTATGCGCGACCAGCTTGCAAAATGCTGCAACATGCTGCAAAATGCTGCAAAATGCAGCAATTTGCAGCAACATACTGTTCGAGCTTATTGCTTGTACTATGTAGCAGCTTTCGTCAAGCGTTCCTCCTGTCTTAACAGTAGGTGCGCATATCTAACAAGGTTGTACATCTGTACTACTAGCTTACTAGTTATAATTCTCTTAAGCTTCTAAAAGGCTTTATCT